TTAAAATTTTCACACAAAAATTAACAAGTTTGCAAATATTTAAAATTTTCATACAAAAATTAACAAGTTTGCAAAAAAATAAATCACATGGCATTCCAACTCATCCCATTGAAAAAAATTTCGTTTTTTATTTTTTTTCGTTCCTCCCTTTCCCTTTTCTCTTCCCTTTCTTCAACTTCTGCAAACCCTAAAATCTCAACCAATCTCTACATTTATTGGGTTCTTCATCATCATCAAGCAACAAAACTCACAAAAAAAATGAAAGAAACTTTTTTTAATTTTTTGCCACTGGTTCAAGTGTATTGGGTTCCAACGAACCCAGGCGAGGGTTCCTTGGAACCCAACGCTTGGGTTCCTTGGAACCCCTGTGCTTGGGCTCCATCAAACCCAAGCGTACTGGGTTTGAAGGAACCTAGCGTTTGGGTTCCAACGAACCTAGGCGTCCTGGGTTCAAAGGAATCCCATGCTTGGGTTCAAAGGAACCCCATGCTTGGGTTCAAAGGAACCCCATGCCTGGGTTCCTTAGGAACCACTGCGCCTACCTCCTTCTGTTTCAACTCTATCTCCTTCTCTTTGACCCAAGAAAAATGCATGATGGTGCCGTTTCTCTCTTTTTCCAGAGATTTAAGTTTCTCTCTTTTTCCAGAGATTTAAGTTTCTCAAACCTTACGTGAAAATCTATTTCGGATTCATCCTATAGTTTCTTTTTTACCTTCTTTTTCACAGCTTTTCAATCTATAGGCTAGACCTCACATTCTTCAGAGATCCAAGTAGCTATTGGGTGAGAGAAAGGGAAGGAAGAAAAAATAAGAAATAATTTTTTTATGTATTATTATTTTTTATAATTTGATAAGAAGTATTGAAATTTTAATTTTTAAAATATTTTATAAAAAATATTAAAATTTTAATTGTCAAGATATTTTTATTTTTTATAATTTTAATTTTTAAATCTCTTTTTTAAAAAATTTTAAATTTATATTAGGACTTTTTTTTTTCATCTGACCTCTTTTGTTTCAAATTCTAAATCAACAAATAAGTCCCACAAATTAAAATTATTAACAGTAGAACTCCAGCACACAAAAAGTACAAGTTGGACTTGTCAACATGTTAAAAATGTCTAAATTGATGCTGACATGTGAGTGCATGATGGAGACTAACGATGTACGGTTGCATGTGACTTTCTAGCATTAAATGTTACCTCATTTCCTTGAACTCGAAAATATGAAGGGTAAAAATTCATATATTGTAATATGAGAGGTAAAATGCCTTAAACTTGAAAAGTTGAAGGGCAGTCGGAGGGTTTTTGCCAGCGTTCTTATAAGGCAGCGATTCTATAAAGGCCAAGATGGATGATTAAAAATGCTGCCTTTGGATCCCCTCAAAATGCCAAACAAATGCAGACAAACCCAGCAGTTTTAAGCTCAGTATTTGGTAGCGTTTTTAAGCGCTAGTTTATCTACTTGGTATTTTTTATTATTATTATAATTATAATTATTATTTATCCAAAAAATGCTAGTAAAAAGAAAAAAGATATTAAGACATTCAAATAAACATTAAAGATAAAAAAATATTCATTAATCTCATATCAGCCAAGTATCTCATTCAAAATTGCATTCTAAATACGTTTATTAATCTCCTACATTCTACCTGCAAAGTAAAAAAGTTCACATTCAAAATAAAGAGTGATTCCTAAGGAAAAATTAAATCTCTTAATTTTCCATGCCCGTCCATTTAGCCATAACTGAAGTGGAAGGAACTCAGAGTTGCCCCTAA